CCCCCCCCCTACCTATTTCGTCATTACCTATTTTAACAGACCTATCACATAATTTTCCGTCTTCCTCCATCAACATTGAGTATTCGCAAGTCGGATCGCTTGCAGTTGCTAAAGGCAATTCCAACTTACAGACGATTAATCCTAGATCATTACATTGAAGTATTTGCTCTTCGCTCATTGTTGCATAAAGTTCTCTCTGTGAATTAATTACAAAATATGGGGCACATTCCCAAGAGACAGATAAATTAGTTCCTTCCACGAACTGTGGCACAGGAACAATTTTAAATAATTCAAGTACGCTATTTACATTCGCAATCGGTATTTTTAGACTAAAAATTAATTCTCCGCCTTTAAATATGGTATTTACAGATATTAAATGAAAGTATTGTTGTAACATATTCTCACCAAAATCTATTAACTTAAGAGACCCAGGCAAACTTTTCTCTATTGTCGACAAAATTTTCTCGAGGACTTCTGGACCGATTAAATTTGGAGATAATTTATGATTCAATGAAGTTTGTATCGACTCATAAATTTGATTGATTGCTGTTTGAACTTCTAACAAATAATAGATCAAAGCTGATAGTTCCAGTTCTATTATATTTTCATGTTTTAACTTATGAAGATTGACAGAAATATTTTGAAAGTTTTCGTTAACTCGGTCCTGAAATTCTGAATTAAAAATCGTTATATTTCTACCCATATCTTTGAGAAGATTAAGTGCACTCGTTAGAGTCCCTTCGGTGTTTGTAATTTTAAGCCTTAAATTTTTCTCTTCGATTTTCATTTGCTCCTCCTCAAAATTTAAATTATTGATAGACTTGAAGAGTTGCTTTCTATCCTCGTGATCAGGATTGCCTAACAGAAATTTAATTATTTTTTCACCGGTATTAAAAGATCTTTTATACCTGCGCTTACTGCTAGTTCCTAACGTAATTAAGGACTGGATACCTTTATCTATTCCCGTGATCGATTGCTGTAGAGACTGTAACAAGGCACCAAATCTCCCCTTATTCTCGCTTTGATCATCATATTGTAAGACAGATTTTCTTAGCTGATAAACATTTATCATTAATTCTACTTTCTCTTCCTTAATTTTTGAAATATTAAAGAGGACATCTACCGACCAAATGTGGCTAGCTAAAACTAGATCTCCCTGCCTCTCGAAAATGACAGTATTATTTAAGGGAGTTATGGTGACTGATGTTGTTGTGGTTACTAAGAGAATACAGATGTACAAAGTTCGTGCCATCGTCTTTACCATTTTCCTGCAACAGCAGAAATATATATCATATTAATCCTTATTGCTATAAAAATATTTTAGTCTATTTACATGAACTATTTGTTTTTTCTTTGAACTTTCTTCTTCCACTTCAACCATGCTCCTATTAACAATTTTTTGGACAACGAATGGTCCTTTATATTTAATTTTTAATTTTCCGTGTTTCGTTTTACCAATTTCCGGATCGTAAATTAGAACTTTGTCACTTATTTTGAATGGCGATGGTTTTACATTTCTATTTCGATAGTCTTCTTGCTCATGCTGAGCCTTTTTAATGAGCCTTAACGCTATTTTTCTATGCTCGTTTATTTCATCCAACCTTTCTTGGAGTGAAGCGTCTTTACATTGCGGCCTTAAAGCAGTCTCCAATGGTCCTCTGTAATCATATCCGAATAACAACTTGTGAGGAGTATATCCCGTAGTTCGGTTAACAGAGGAATTATGACTAGTCATAGCCGTCAATGCAAAGTCCGCCCAATCCTTAGTGTCCAGTTTACAATACGATCGCAACACGTTCCCGATAAAACTAAATGTTCTCTCTGTTTTAGAATTTGCTTTAGGATTGTACGCAGCACTGTAGGTGGGTTTAATTCCTAGTTGAGCGAGTAATTCTATTACTTCATTTGCGATAAAATGGCTTCCTAGATCTGTTTGGATTTCCTCTGGGCACCCAAAAAGTGAGCAAAGTTCCAGTAAAAATTGTACTACATGCCTTGATTCTGCTGTTTTTACTGGTTTCAAGTAAACAAAGGAGGTCAAATAATCTGTACAAGAAATGATGTATTTGCATCCTGGGTACGCAAGAGAAGTGGATGCTGCTAAAGGCCCAAATAAATCCATGCAGATCTTAGCAAACAGTCTAACAGGGACCTGATGAGAATGAATTTTGCCTAACTCAGGCCCTGACCTGTTTTTCGAGAAAAGACAAGTTCTACAAGTCTTCACAAAATTTCGCATATCTGCGTGCATTCCTTGCCAATAATAAAAACTAATCAATTTCCTAATACTTTTATATTGCCCAATATGACCACCATCAATGCTGTCACAATGAACTTTCTTCATTACTTCTCGTTTCATACTTTGCGGAATAACCGCCAGCAAATCTCGATCCGTCCGCTCAGTTACTTTGTAAAGAGTTTTGTTTATTATGCGAAATTGTGCGGCTCTGCGCTTCTCCAAACTAGTACATTTTTCTGGTGTTTCTAGCGCTTTAAAAATACCTTGCAAATTTTTATCCTTACGCTGCTGTTCACCCAAAGAATTAAAATTAATTGTGTTAATTATTCGTCTTAGATTTAATTGCGCTGTATCCTTAGTAGGCACTTTTTCTTCAATTTCTTCTTCCGGAAAATAGCGCGACAGACAATCAGCTCCTTTGTTTTTAATACCTGGACAAAATTTCCACTCAATATCAAACCCTTGAAGTTTGTAAGCTAACCTAGAAAGTCTACCAGTTTTAGAATCAATTTTTGTGGCTTTGGTCAAGGCAGAGTGGTCCGTTACAACTTTAAATCGAATACCAAATAAAAATTCTTTCCACTTTTGTACTGAAAATACTACTGAAAGAAGCTCCTTTTCACTGACCGAGTAAAACCTTTCAGCCTTTGTTAACGTTCGACTTGCAAAGAATACTGAATGCAGTTTATTATCTTTAGTTCGGTGGTTAAAAATACTTCCAATCGCATAGTCACTTGCGTCACAGTGGATATCCACCGGTAAATCCCCGTTATAATGCATTAACAAAGGTTTAGAAATTAATTTTTGCTTCAGCACTTTAAAAGCTTCTTCTGCCTCTGCTGACCAGCAAAACTTTGGTTTAGGTTGTTTATTCGATGCCCTTAATAGTTTTAAAAGCGGCTCTGCAATTCCTTTCTCTCCTTTCTTCGCTTCTCCTTTCCTTCTTCCTTTCTCTCTGCATTTCCTTTCCTTTCTCTTTTTTTCTTGCGAAAATCCTCCAATATGAGATCTGTAGAATGAAAAAAGACCCAAAATAGACTTTAACTGCTTAAACGTTTTAGGTGACTCATATTTCTTAATCACTTCTATTTTCGATTCGTCCGGAGTTATCCCTTCTCTGGAGACATTAAATCCCAATAATTTAACTTTATCACAAAAGAACTTACATTTTGCATAATTTAATTTAATATTTTTCTCGCGACATATTGTTAGAAATTTACGAAGGCTTGCTAAGTGACTTTCGAAGTCCATTGATTTTAACAGAACGTCGTCAAGGTAAACTAATAGTTCGGTTAAAAAGCATTGATGAAAAGGTCTCATTGATAAATCTTTGAAAGATTGCAGGACTCACTTTCAATCCCATTGGAAGGCAAGTGAATTTTAGGTTTTCCCTGTGGCTACTAAAACTCAAGAAATCCTGGCATTCTGGCTTTACGGCCAGTTGAAAAAATCCGTTAGACATATCTATGCTTGAAAAAAATTTTGCACCATTCAAACTGCTTATTATATCCGTAATTCTAGGGATAGGGAAAATTTGAGATTCAATTTTCTCATTACAACGTCTGAAATCAACACATACTCTATATTTACCCTTCTCTTTTTTTGCAACCAAAATTAGAGGTGAAGAGTACGCGCCCGTTGATGGCGCAACTGCTTCTGAATTTTTCAGATCGGCCACATACTCATCGATTAACTCTCTTTGCTTCTTACCTGAGGGAAATGGAGGTACCTTAACCGGTGTATTATCTATAACCTTAAATCCGACGGGGGGGTGTTTAATTTTACCTGCCAGAAACTTTTTCCCTGGCCAGTGGAAGCAATCTTGAAATTCTGTGAGTAAGTCGGCTGCTCGCTTCGCTGGTTTCCATTAAGAGTTTTTGTTTCTATCATTTCCTCGACTTTATTTCTTAAGGATTCGTTCAAAAGTTGAACCTGATTAATTTTTTCGACTGGCAAAATATTAACTCTCTCAAATGTGCCTATTTTTTCAAATTTTTCGAGGTAGAATTGCTCGTGAGATTTATTACTAACAATGATAGTAACGTATTTTTTATTCTCTATGACTCCATCTTGAAAAACTAGTTGCTTATGCTTTTGATAGGGTTTTATAAACGATAAATATCCTTCCCGGGCGTCAATATTTCTGCCTATCCTGAGTTTAACTCTGCGAGACTGAAATGGAGGTAAAAAGGTAGCGTTTGCTACGGTTACATCGCAAGTACCTTCCTCTATTTCTTGAAACGCTTGATAAAGCATTGAAAGTTCCTGAAAGCCTGAATCCATGGTTACTTCCCTATCCTGTTCTATTTTACTCTTTTTTCTTCGCCTTTGCCACTGAAGTTCGGAGAATATTGGAGCCCGCGTTTCTCCGTGTTTTAAACTTAATGTTGCAGTACTTAGAAGTAATAATTTTAGCTGAATGTTTTTCAAAAAAGTGATTGCCTAGGATCACGGAGGCTGACAAATTTTCGGCAACAAATGCTAAGTCTTCAAAAATAGTTCCATTAATCTCAATGCGCAATTCCGTTACGCCTATAATTTTTAAGGAATGATTATTTGCAGTTGTTAGCGATTGTACTTGTTCGGTACGAAAAATATCCTGTCTTCTTACGAAGCGTCTATCTATAACATTACAACAGCTCCCCGAATCCAGTAGCACTTTTAATCTTTGATTATTTACCTTTGCTACCATATGCAACGCGGCGCAACAATCCGTCAGATCACTGCCCGCGGAACGGATGTTTACTCCTTGATTTTCCGAACTCCATGACATTGGAATTTCAACATTTTCGGCCTTGGGTGTGCATAATTTCAGCCTACCTGCGTCATAATCTAAGTCTGCGGAAAATTTTTCAGCGAAATCCATGCCCAAGATCAAGTTGACGGATAAGTTCCGGATTATTTTGACTACTACCGGAAAGTTTACACCTGAAATACAAACATTGATTCGAGCTGTGCCCAAGTTGTCAATTTTTCCGCGATCGGCGCCGAAAATTACATCATTACATTTGTTTATTTTGAGATTCGACGCCAACTTTGCGTCTAAGGCTGAGATCGTACTGCCCGTGTCGAAAATGATTCGCGATTGCTTTCCATTTACTTTTCCTAAAATACTTAGGCTAGACCTAATCCCTACCGATAACTTATTTAAGGAATAAAAATTACAAATTTTTATCGTATTTTTGTCATACTCCAGGACTGACCCATTAACTTGTTTAAATTTTTCCGTATTAAAGGAAACGTTTTTTTCTTGTTTGGGAGTTTCCCTGTTTAGTTTATATCGAGAATCCTGGTTACCCTGTGCTACAGAATGCTTATGGCTTAAATTATACTTAGACCCTGTTTTGCTCACTCTTCTCGCAGGGCCTTTATATCGAGTCGAGTCTTTTAGTTTCCCCGTTTGTTATTTTTCCCATAATATTTTTTAGGTTCGTACTCTTCTCCCTTATTGTTACTGCTCCCTCCGTATCTATGATACCTTGGAGGGCTCCTCGAATAATCTCTGTAATTACGGCTTGGACTTCTAAATCTAAATTTTCGCGCATTCCCACGGTGCCTCTGATTGAAATTAAAAGAAAATTGACCCCTTGAATGTCCTCTATAAGATCCATTTCCGTAATAACCGTACCGTTCAGGAGGTCTGGACCATCTTTGAGGTTGCCCTGGGGGCTTGCTCCTATAGGGTGACTGATTTCTCGATCCATTTCTCGCCCCGTATCTCAAGGATTTCTCTGGTGATCTTCCCCGAAAGCTATTTCTACGTAAATCCTTATCAATTATTAACTGTTGCATCATTTGCTCTATTTTTTCCAGCCTAGAATTCTCCTCGGATTTAATCATGGAGTTACTGTGATTTTTGGAAGTTTCACTTGGATTTCCACTGATTTCAAAAGATTTAATTACTTTACTTAAGTTGTTCTTCAGATCTTCAATATTATCATTATTAAGAAGGTAAATTTGCTGAGCTAAATGCGGCAACATACCTCCAATGATCCAGTCGATTAGCTCTCCTTCTGGAATTTTAGGCTTTAAGTTCCTAGCCAGAAACACTTTATTTTCCAAGTATTCTTGTGGTTTTTTATTATATGTTTGCCTTCTGTTGGTGAAAATCACCCAGTCATCCCCTATACTTTTAATTTTACGAAAATTATTTAAAAATTCCTGTTTTAACTCGGGCCAATTTTTCAAACATAATATAGTCTCATTATTTCTGTACCATAAGCCAGCATTTCCTATTAAGCCCATAATTAATGCACTGATTTTTTGAGTATCTGACCACTCCCCAACTTTAGAAATAGTTTCTAATTTATGGATATAATCCTCCGCGTCAGAGGAACCGTCGAACTGAGGAAGTTCCAACTTCAAAGGCTGAAGAATAGATTTTTTATTCTCCATCTCTTGTCTCTGTAATGAATTCTCTTTTAATCTCTTTATAGACCTGTCCTTCTCGAGCTTTGCTAGTAGTTTCCTAGCATGTTCTATATTTGCGAAGTTATACGTAATTTGATGAAATTCTTTAAATGCTATTTTTAATGCAGCTGTGTTTAGTGACGAACAATTTTTAATAGTGCCTTTGTCATTAAACAAAAAAGGTGTTGGAATAGTTTTGTTAATTATAGGAGCCTGAGAGTCCACGCTTTCTTCCTCAAATTGTACAATGCCTGATGGAGATATTTCATCGCTAGTACTCTGTTGCAAAAATCTAATTATTGCTTTTTTGGGTAAAGAACGCACAAGACCGCAAAATTCCGCATTATTCCAATAAGCTTTATCAGTTTCGTCCGCGAACGTATCGACTATTGTCTGAACCAATGATGAACATTTTACTTTGTATTTAGTATTATTATAAATAATATAAATGAGCGCCATAGAACATAAAGGACCATTCTTAGCTAACAATGTAAAGCTTCTTCGATACCATCTTCAAAGAAAAATTGCAAAAATTCTTTAATTAAATCAAATTTCTCACTTAAAGATAATCTTACAATGTTATATTCCTCTTTTGCGGATTGAACAAGTTTTTTTTCGAATTGTGAGTTATAATGATTCCTAAAAACAATATATTCAAAAGTATCTACTATCTCGGCCACGGATTTTTTGTTAGTTCGAATATCTGCGTCCAAATAAATGAGACTTTCCACAAGGGGAAATTCACTCATTAAGCTGTCTACTAATCTCATGTTACATAAGTACAGGTTACTAAAAAAAAATCGACGTATTCTGCACCCGTTGCGATACACGGTAGGTAAAAGGAGGGTTCAGCGAGAGGTTGAGGGGTCAAGGCGCCTTCACCATGTTGTGGACTAGGGGTTGGAATAAGGAGGCTACCGTAGGTGCTATGGCGACATTTGTATTAGCTGCTAATGAGGCTACTTACAGTATGCTCTCCTGACACACTCAGGCTGGCTACCAAACTCGAGGTGTCGGTGAGCTAGATGATGAACTCGAATAGACTAGACGAGCCCGGAACAGACGGTGCTTCCTTTTATAAAGACGAGCACTAGGCCCCGCTCAGTGCCAATGACGTCAAGCGAGGTGCACGGCCACAAACTATCAACAATCAACAATGCCATATCTCGCTTGAAATCACCGACAATGAACGAGTCACAACAGACCTTAATGAAATCACCAAGGCATCCAGTAAACGCAAGGTACTTCTGAACTACCTATCCTTTGACGTATACTCAGAGTTAAGAACTCAATTGTTGCCTGAGAAACCATCAAGCAAATCATTTGACCAACTAGTCACACTCCTCCAAGAAACCTACGAACCAAACAAGATTCTTTTTCCGATATTCTAAAGTTTGAATCTAGAGTTCAAGCAGAGGGCGAAACTGCTGCAGTGTACTTAACCTCTCTTAGACTTCTTGCAGACAAATGCAACTTCGGAGACAACCTCAAGAACAGGCTCCTAGTCAAATTTGTAAATGGGCTCAACTCCGTCAACCTCAAAAAAAAGTTGTGGGAGAAAAGTGACTTAACCCTGGAGGATGCCATCAAGTTTGTTCGCAACTTCGAAACAATTGCCAGTGAACTTAAACCCGCCTCAGTCAACAAAGTCAACTTTCATAATAATAACCAATTCAACCGTAGAACTAATAACAAGTCTAACTCATTTCGACCCGTTAATCGTTCATTTAATCGAAGCTCACCACCTCAACCTCAATCTAACAACCAATTTCCAGCCACGAACTCAAATCAACGCACCAACTAACGTCAATCAAACAATTAACGGAATTTCAACGCACTTCAACCAAACAACGGTCAACAATCACGTCAACAACCCAACCGCAGAGTCAACCCGCAAACTACCACTCAATGTTATAGATGTACAAGACTGCACAATCCCAATTACTGCCCTGCCCGGTATTGGAAATGCTTCAATTGTGGAATCCAAGGCCACACGTCCACCGCCTGCAACCAAGCCAAAGCAGTGTTGGAAGAATCCACCGATGAGGAAATCGAAGAAATCATCGTGGGAAGGATATCCAATGCTCACCTACCAATCATCAAGTCAACAAGCGACCTCCAAGTCCGCAACATTCCCTCCGCGCAATTAACCTTAGCACCGACTTCTTCTGAGTCACAATCTAACCTCTATGTGTACCGTGTAACCAACAACCCATTACTGGGAAATATAGTTATAAATGATAAAAGCGTTGAGTGCGAATTCGACTCGGGATCAGCAGTGTCACTAATGTCTCTCAGTAAATTTTCTGACAAATTCCCGGAATCTAAAGAAGAAAAATGCACATCGCGCTTATGGAATGTTGACGGACAGCCATTAAACACTATAGGAGAAATTAAGGTAACAGTTTTCGTTCAACCCAATAGATACACCATCAGGCTGATTGTTGTCAAATTTGCTAAACCAACTAAAATGCTGGTCGGGAGAGAATGGCTTGATACCATATCCCCGAACTGGCGACACAACCTGCTAGGTTCCCTACTTAATGATAAGGCCATAAGCCAAAACTGCAGTAACATTTCAGTCAAACATACCCAAGAAAAACACATTGATGGAATCAAACTTCGATTTCCCCACGCTTGTAGCACAGATAAGTCAACCAGTATTCGGGGCTATAAAGCTCAACTTGTATTAAAAGATGATGTCCGACCTATTTTCCACAAATTTTATGAAATCCCATTTAGTCAATCGGAAGAAGTGCATCAAATAATCATGAATTTAGTAAAATCTCAAAGACTTGAACCCGTCACCCACTCTGAATGGGCTTCACCCATTTGGCCAGTCAAAAAGAAAACGGGCGGAATTCGAGTAGTTGTCGACTTCCGCAAAATAGTCAACCCTTGTCTTAGATTAGATCATTACCCGTTACCTAGATTAGAGGACATTTGGTCCAAACTAGCAAATTGTAACTTCTTCACCAAAATTGATCTCACAGAAGCATACTTGCAACTGAAAGTTACCGATGATAGTAAAGAAATTCTCACGATCAACACACCCTGGGGATTATTTCAATTTAACAGACTAATTTACGGTATCAACAGCGGATCATCAATTTTTCAATCTATAATTGACCGCATATTAAGTAATCTCCCCTGGTGTGGAGTCTTTATAGATGACATTGTATTTGGCGACAAAACTATTGATTGAGTCAAACAAAAAACACTTATTGTATTAGGTAAATTAGATGTTCACAGAGTCCAAGTCAACTTGGTCAAAAGTATATTTTATGCACCGGAAATAGAATTATTTGGCCATATTGTAAACTGCGAAGGGATCCGCCCAACATTAGATAAAACCTCAGCTATACTAAACGCTCGTCCACCAAAGAACGTATCCGAACTCAGATCTTATCTAGGTTTAGTTCAATTTTATGCACGTTTCATCCCTAATTTGAGCACGCACTTGAAACCCTTGCACAAATTACTAGAAAAAAACACTAAGTTCGATTGGAACTCTCAGTGTGACGAAGCCTTTTCGTACACTAAACAAAAGTTAGTTGAAAAACCAGTGCTAACTATCTATGACCCTCAGAAACCTATTTTTGTCTACACCGATGCCTCACCTTATGGAGTAGGCACAGTCCTATGTCACCTCATTGCGAATTTTGATAAACCAGTCATGTATGCATCTGCATCCTTAACTCCTTGTCAACAAAAATATGCACAGCTGGACAGAGAAGCTCTCGCTGTAGTCTTCGCAGCTAAGAAATTTCACAAATACCTTTATGGACTACTATTTACGGTGGTCACTGATAATCAACCCCTAAAAAGTCTGTTAAATAAAGGTGTGCCAACTATTGCGTCACCTCGCTTCCAAAGATGGTTCGTAACGCTTAGCGCTTACAACTTTAAAACCATTTATCGTAAAGCATCCTTACTAAAACCAGCTGATGCATTATCCAGACTCCCCGCTGACAATGTAACGATAAAAGAAATTTCTGAAACCATTGAATTGTTACCCGATATTCCTTTAACCCCTGAATTAATTGCTCTAGAAACTGGAAATGAAAACACCCTTAGCACTGTCTTCAATTATGTGTTGCAAGGATGGCCTAGAAATGTCAAAGATGTTAACATTAGACCTTATTTTCTAGTAAGGGAAAGTCTATCGTTGCATGATAATGTCATACTTTTTGGAGATAGAGTTGTTATCCCAAAAAAATTGCAAACTAAGGTCCTTGAAAATTTGCATGATTCTCATCCCGGGATTGTAAGGATGAAATCGCTCGCCAGGAAAAATGTATGGTGGCCATCATTGAATAACGATATTGAAAACAAAATAAAAAACTGTGCAGCTTGTCAAACAGTCAATTTCAAACCTGTATCATCCGCCAAAACTTCATGGCCAGAAACTAATCAACCCTGGCAACGAGTACATTTAGACCATTTCTTTTTTAATAATGAAGAGTATGTAGTACTCGATGATGCATATAGTAAATGGATCGAAGTCTGGCCGGTATCGTCTACAAATTTTGAATCTCTAGAAGAAAAATTATTAATGTACTTTTCTACATATGGCCCTATGCTGCAAGTAGTGACGGACAATGGTCCGCCATTTCAATCACAAGAATTCAAAGACTTTTGTACTAAACATTCTATTATTGTCACGAAGTCACCACCTTACCACCCAACTAGTAACGGCCTAGCCGAAAGAGCGGTCCAAACTGTCAAAAAAGCTTTAGAGAAAATCAAATTAGAAAATTGTAACATTTCAAAAAAAGATCTACTTAAGAAATTATGTAAATTTTTATTCGCATATAGAAACACCCCCATAACGGGAAAAGATGTCAGCCCCTGCGATCTTGTACTTAAACAAACCCCTCGAACAACCCTTAACTTAATACACCCCAAAAAGCAACCCAAAGCCCCTAAATTGCCAAACCCTAGCGTTAACGAAACAGTCGTAGTAAGAATGTCCAAACAGCACCAAGTACAAAAAGGTGTAATTCATAAGCAAATAAGCCCCATAACGTATCTAATTAAAGTTAATGGAGAAATAAAACTTTGTCACTTAAATCAAATCAAGCTCACAACGCTCTCCGACCTAGCATTAAAGCACAAACCCTCCCCTTATCCTACCGTAGACCCACTAAACCTAGCAATGATGCAATCAAGCGCAAGCACATCTAAGCCGCAAATACAGCTTGCACCGAAAATAACTAATGTCATTAGTCCAAGCTCTCCTGTGAAAAAGCAACAGCCTGTTCCTCATACAGGAAATACTCGTAGAGAACTCTCCTTCAACGAGACAAATGCTATACTACCAGGAACCAGTAACTCCCGACAAACTTTAAGGCAAAGCGGTACCCCACAACCCCATAACTCAAGAAAAAGACCCTCAGTACCTCAAAACTCAAATTCTCCTGAATGGCAGAATGAAAGTAGTTCAGAGCAACCCTCCTCTTCACGTACCAAAACCCCCGAACCACTTGTCACCCCACCTGCACCTCCGCCGAGGAAGTCAAGTAGGGAATCCAAACCACCTATGCGACCAAATTTATAAACTAAGCGAAATTTTGTGAACAATCTGTCTCTTGTTTTTTTTCAATTGACCAGGGAGTGGGTGTTATGTTTGAATTGCCCGCCACACCGGTCGAACCGTTTTAAGCAATTTCGTCTGAATAAAATCTCTCTTGGTTCGTCATCTCTACATTCGTTTGATTCATTTTTTTTGTCTTCCCGTTTCGAGTCCACCAAATATATCACACCAGGCATGCCATTAACAAAAATAATAAATAATAAAAGTCCAAGAATAGATCCTTGGGAAACACCAGCTGACAGCCCATATACGATTGATAGGACGGGACCAAAAGTTGAGTCAATTTTCATTCTCTGTTTTCTATTTCTTAAATATGATGCTATAAGGTCGACGGCGCTGGAGTGAAGATAGTAACTAAGTTTTTTAAGCAGTAGTTTATGGTTAATGAGGTCAAATGCCTTTGCAAAATCGAAGTGTAGACTGGCAACCGGGATCCCCTGATCAAGTGCTTTGTAAATGCATTCCGTTAACTTATGAATGGCTTGAATAGTCGACTTTTTTCTACGGAATCCGAATTGATTACAATGTAAAAACTGCCCTTGTTCAAAAAAACCTTACTAGTTGGTTATACAATACTTTTTCAACAATTTTAGACAGAGTTGGTAATACAGATATTGGACGATAGTTAGCAGGAGATTTTTTGTCACCTTTTTTTTTGTAGATTGGGGAGACAGTTGCAATTTTTAGGAAGTCAGGATAAGTATTGCAGGCTATACACTTATTGATAAGTTTAAGCAATTGAGGACCAATTATAGAAAAGTAATCTTTGAATACAAAAGATGGAATGCTATCATTATTATCAAATTTAGACAAATTTAGCTCATTGATCACTCTTTCAAGTTGTTGCAAGTCGATGGTTTGAAAGGAAAATTTAGAATTGGGAGGGATGACATTTTTTTGTAAAAGTTTCATTGCATCATCATCGTTAAGATGAACCTGATAATTTGTTGATATGGAAGTGAAATAATCATTAAATGCATTGGCAATTTGAGTTGGGTCTTTGATCACTTCATTATTGTAAATTATCTGTTCAATAAGGGGATTTGAGATCGATTCAGTTTCAGATTTTATGATGGACCATGCAGTCTTGGATTTATTGCTAGATTAGTGGATTTTATTGTCATACAGTCTTTTTTTCTGCATAAATGGCTTTTTTGAGATTCTTGCTAGCCCTATTGCAGGCTCTTTTAAGTGATTTTTCTCCTGTTAATTTATACAGCAAATGGAAGTGTTTCTTTTCTTCACTCATTTCCATTAGGTTAGTATTATGTATTAGGGAGAGGTTATTGGAGTTAGATTTGACTTTTAAAAGAGGGCAGCAGACATTGACTAGATTACAAATATCTATATAAATAAAATCGTTGGGGGTTTCACTGTAACGCTTATTTCTGGAGTTCTACCGGACCGATTTCGACGATGCTTGACTCTGGTGAAAGCCCTTGACGTCCCGATGTCCGCAAAACTTTCAGACTTCCAAATTTTTCAGCCTCTTTCGCTTGAGACGCTCTTGAAGCCAAATCCACCCCCCTCAGACCTTAAGTTTCCGAGAGTTGCGGTATGTTTCCGTTGTAACGCCTAATTTGAGAGATCTACCGGGGCGATTTTTACGATTTCTGGGTCGACTGCAAGCTTCTAGCTTCCAGATGCTCGCAAAACTATGAGAATTTCCAATTTTTCAGCCACATCTGTGTAAACCGCTGAGAGATGCAAATAGACCCCTCTCCATATTACTACTACACAGCCTTCACCCAACGCCGAAGGTCAAACTCGGACTCTGTCTCAGCACTGCTCTGTCTGAATAAAATGAAGCCGCCCCAGCTACGTGGTTCCATAAAACTGTCGAAGCGGCGCGATGACATGGGTTCATGTTTAACTCGTTGAGGCACACTGTGTATTGTATGGAGTACTGTTGCTATTCGACCCTTGTCTTCAGGTCAAAATTCTTACAAGGAAGCCCCTTGCAAGAGGCCAATTTTTTGTAATTACTCCCAATTTTTTTCCGTTATATAATGCGAAGCAACGCTAGGTAATATTGACTCTCGCGTAATTAAGACTATTTGTATAATGTGCCTTGATGTGTGTTATTCAGTTTAGGACGAAAGTGTAATAACTGTGATATATTTATGTATTAATGACTGTACTCTGAAGATGGCGAAATGCTGAAAGGTCCTAAGTAAATTAATAAAAAACGATCATTACATCACCTTGGTTACACTTCAAAACTAAAATTAAATATGGTGTTGTTCAAATCAAACTTTATTAATCTAGATGCCCACCAAGCTAATGCCGCATTCTTATACCATAAACATGTCACGAAGTTGGAGAAAACGAAGCTTAATATATACATGAACAAGCAGTGCCGAAAACACAACGTCATACCAAGGTACGTGAACCTATCTACAAATAGCAAGACAAAGGCAGCTACACGAACGATCAAGCACGCAAAGAGATACTGGATATCAGCTGAACTGGACTATCTTTTCTGCAAACTCAATCACCATATACGGGAAATCAAGAAAGCTAAGCAAATGTTATTTAATGATGAGAAGCTGGACAACAACACCAGAAAACTTATATTTAGATTATCTCAAGATAATTTGTCACCTATT